GGGCTGGGGACAGCAGGGACAGTGGGGGGACAGCGGAGAGATGGGCTGGGACAGCGTGGGGACAGCGGGGACAGTGGGGACAGCGTGGGGACGAGCTGGGGATACCGAGGGGACAGCGTGGGGACAGCGTGGGGATGGGCTGGGCACAGTCTGGGGACAGCGTGGGGACACCCAGGGGACCGGGCCCCCAGGCTCGGGTATATTTAGCTCGGCCTCGCCAGCGGCTCGGGTGTCCTGGGCGAGCTGGGCCCCCGCCAGCCCCGGGCACGGCCACCAGCCCTGGCAGTGTCACCCCCAGGGACAGCAGTGCCAGCCCGGGATGGTCACAACCCAGGGACAGCAGTGCCAGCCTCAGGGAGGCCGCCCCGATGATGCCACCTGAAGCTGTTTGTCCCCGTGTCCCCTGTCCCCAGGGAAGCCGTTTGTCCCCATGCCCAGTGTCCCCATGTCCTCGAGTTCCCTGTGACCTGTCCCTGTCCCCAGGGAAGGTCCCCGTGTCCCCAAGCTCCCCGTCCCTGTCCCCAGGGAAGCTGTCGGTGTCCCCGTGTCCCCAAGCTCCCCGTCCCCAGGGAAGCTGTCGGTGTCCCCGTGTCCCCAAGCTCCCCGTCCCTGTCCCCAGGGAAGCTGTCGGTGTCCCCGTGTCCCCAAGCTCCCCGTCCCTGTCCCCAGGGAAGCCGTTTGTCCCCAAGGCGGCGGGGCCGGCGCTGCCGCAGGACGAGCAGGTGACGCTGGAGCCGGAGCTGGAGGAGGCGCTGGCCAACGCCACCGAGGCCGAGATGTGCGACATCGCCGGTGCGTGGGGACGGCGGGACGGGATGGGATGGGAATGGGAATGGGATGGGAATGGGATGGGAATGGGATGGGAATGGGATGGGACCAGGAGCGGGATGGGAATGGGATCGGGATTGGGAATGGGGACATGGATGGGGTTAGAATGGGGGTGGGATTTCTAAAGGATGGGATGAGATGGGGTTGGGATGGGATTTCCATGGGATTGGGATGGGATGGGATCTCCATGGCATTCCCATGGGATGGGAACGAGGCCGGACTCTGCGCAGGCCGGGATCCCCGCGGGGCCGGGAGCGGCACCAGGAAGGGCCTTGGCCGAGGGTAACGCTGTCCCCGAGGGGCTGCGCGTGTCACACGGCGTCACACGGTGTCACTCGGTGTCATACAGTGTCACACGTCACCCGGGAGGGACACCGAGCACAGCCCAGCACGGCCCAGCTGTCCTCGTGTCACTGTCACACACCCGAGTGTCACACACCTGAGTGTCACACGGTGTCACCCGGGAGGGACACCGAGCACAGCACAGCACAGCTGTCCTCGTGTCACTGTCACACACCCGAGTGTCACACACCTGAGTGTCACACGGTGTCACCCGGGAGGGACACCGAGCACAGCACAGCACAGCTGTCCTCGTGTCACTGTCACACACCCCAGTGTCACACACCTGAGTGTCACACAGTGTCACCTGGGAGGGACACCGAGCACAGCCCAGCACAGCTGTCCTCGTGTCACTGTCACACACCCCAGTGTCACACACCTGAGTGTCACACGGTGTCACCCGGGAGGGACACCGAGCACAGCACAGCACAGCTGTCCTCGTGTCACTGTCACACACCCCAGTGTCCCACACATTGTCCCACAGTGTCACACTCTGTCCCCCCTCACCCTCTGTGTCCCCTCAGTTAAAGTGGCTCCATCCCCACCTTTGGCTCCCAGTGCCACCCCCCTGGGGGGACAGCGGGGTCCCCGTGTCCCCCTGATGTCCCCTGATGTCCCCTGATGTCCCCGTGTCCCCGCAGCCATCCTGGGCATGTACACGCTGATGAGTAACAAGCAGTACTACGATGCCATCTGCAGCGGGAACATCTGCAACACCGAGGGCATCAACAGTGAGTGACAGGGGACAGGGACAGGGAGTGACAGGGGACAGGGAGTGACAGGGGACAGGGAGTGACAGGGGACAGGGACAGGGAGTGACAGGGGACAGGGAACCCACAGTGGGTGACACAGGGACAGAGGGACAAGCGCCTCCACGGGGTGACTGGGGCAGCATTTGGGGACCAAACCCGTGTGTCCCTGTGTCCTGAGCACTGTCCCCATGTCCCCACGCTGACCCCACGCTGTCCCCATGTCCCTGAGCACTGTCCCCATGTCCCCACACTGACCCCACCCTGTCCCCATGTCCCTGAGCACTGTCCCCATGCCCCCACACTGACCCCACACTGTCCCCATGTCCCCATGCTGTCCCCACGCCGTCCCCATGTCCCCACGCTGTCCCCACACCATCTCCATGCTGTCCCCATGTCCCCACGCCATCCCCATGTCCCCACACTGTCCCCGTGTCCCCACGCCGTCCCCGCGCTGCCCAGGCGTGGTGCAGCCGGACCGGTACCGCCCGGTGCCGGACGAGCCCCCGAACCCCACGGACGTGGCCGAGACGCTGCGGCGGCTGCAGGACAACGACCCCGAGCTGCAGGACGTCAACCTCAACAACATCAAGGTGACACCGCGCTGCCGCCGTGTCCCCACGTCCCCATGGTCCCCAGGGCCAGCACCCGAGGCTGGTCCCTGTCCCCGGCGTGTCCCCGAGGTGCCAGCCCCAGCCGGGTGACGCCGTGTCCCCACCCGTCCCCAGGACATCCCCGTGGCCACGCTCGAGGCCATCTGCGAGGCCATCAAGACCAACACGCACGTGCGCAGCCTCAGCCTGGTGGCCACGCGCAGCAACGACCTGGTGGCCAACGTGAGTCCCCCCCCAATGTCCCCAAATGTCCCCGCGCCTGCCCGCCCACGCCCGGGACACCGGGGGGGCTGTCCCCACCGTGCCACCGCGGTGCCACCCTGGTGCCACCGCGGTGTCCCCAGGCGGTGGCCGAGATGCTGGAGCAGAACCGGAGCCTGCAGAGCCTCAACCTCGAGTCCAACTTCATCACCAGCGCGGGCATGCTGCGGCTGCTGGCCGCCATCGGGCACTGCCCCACGCTCAGCGAGCTGCGCGTGGACAACCAGGTGACAGCGGGGACATTGTGTGGACAGCCAGGTGACAGGGGGACAGCAGGGACAGGGACAGCGGGGACATTGTGTGGACAGCCAGGTGACAGGGGGA